CATTTTGCCTTGAGGTTGAACGGGTTTGAACCATCTCCTCTGAACCCCTGCGGCATGCGAACAGTTGTTCTTGGTTTCGCAAATGCCATTTTGGATTTGCCTCTCCTGCTCTTTGTTTCTTGGCGTGAAAGCTTTTCTTTGGAACTCTAATTTTTGAGAAGCTCCAAGAACTGGGTTGTTCTGCATTCAAAAAGTTAGAGTTCCTTTTTTTTTGGAACTCTAATTTTTGAGAAGCTCCAAGCACTGGGATTTCTTGCATTCAAAAAAATAAAGTTTCTTTTTTTTGGGAACCCCAATTTTTCAGACGCTCCATGAACTGCGTTTTTTTCTTGCGCCCTTTTTTTTGGAACACTATCTTGTGAGAAGCTTCAAGAGCCAAATCTCTACGCACAGAAAAATATAGTTCCTTTTTGTTTGAAACACTATGTTTGTTTTCATTTTCTTCTTGGGGGTTCCTTTGTTTTGGAACTCTAAGTTTTTTGCAAACCAGTTTCCTTGTTTTTAGGGTTCTGTTTGCAAACCTTTTGTTCGAAGCAGTTTAACTTGTTTCTCTTTCAGTTTTGCATTCTTTACGGAAATCAAGCTGTTCAAAGCAGTTTGTTTGTTCTCTTAAAGTGTTTTGTTTGCAATTGGAATCCTTATTGACTTTAACGTTGCCACACACTCTCAGTCTCATTCGTGTTTCTTTGGAATATGTTTCTCTTAACTTGTTTTGAGTTCCATTTTTGTTGACCTTAGCCTTGTTGACCATATTTTTGCCCCCGCGCAATTCCATCAGTTTTTCTTGCAGCCTTCTTTTCCGGAATCTATCTGTTCTTTTTCGGGGTAGTCTCACAATGTTTCTTCAAGTTCCCATGCTGGCATCTCTAGTGTTAACATACATGTTCATAGTTTGTTTTCCGAGAGTGCCCTTTTTGGGGACCTCAACTTGTTCAAGGCATTTTGTGTGTACTTTGGGGGTCTTTCTTTTTTGAACTCCAAGTCTTTATTTCAGACTCTGCACCAACATTTTTTTTCCACTTCTGTAGTGTGTGCTCTTCGAAGTGCACGTTGATTTTTGGCTTGTTACGTCATTTCCTTTGCTATTTCATACCCATGCCATGTTGTTGGTTGAAGTTCTCATTTGTTTTGGGATCTGATAGTTTGTGGAGTGCTTCTTTTCTCAGGTTCCTTCTGAAGAATACTTGTTGGGATTAAGCCGCAATGTCTTCCATTCGTATGTTCTTTTTCTCTAACGCATGTCTTTCTTTCCGCCTCAAAGTGCTCCATACTGTCGACGTTGGTATTTTGTCTCTAGTACTGCCCGCAAACAAATCCACCGCGTAATGGGGCGCGACGACGTTTTATTAGTGTCAGGCCTTGTTTTTCATTGAAACTTTGCGCTATCTCCAGTCCCAAAGCGTGCGAAGCCAGTAAACAAACCAGATCCTGATTAACCACACATTTTTTGAATTATATTATGAATTATTTGCATGTAATGTAATTAAAGGTTCTCGATGGTGATGTTTCGCTAGAATGAACCACCAGTGGTGCCATCATCCACCATCAAATACCTAATGAATTGACTTATTCAGTTTCGTTTGGGCTGTGCCCAAGTCGCAAACGAGTGTGGCCTTAGCAGCATGTGGGAAAAATTAGGGCCCTTTTTTGCCTGAACCGCGCTGGACTTATGAAATTTAGCACATAAACCATAGTTATTGGACTTATAAACCAACTTAGCTAACTATGGGGCACAGCCTTGTATATATATATATATACTTAGTGGTGCTTAGTAGGGAATGGATGGGAATGGGGGAATGGGATGGTTATTACTAGTGATTATGGATCATTCCCTCATTCCCTGCTATATATAATTACAATTAGTACTAAATATATGGTAAATAAATCATTAGTATCCAATTAAAAATTGCAATTTGCTAGTTATATATGCCAATGATATCTGGTTGGTGGTTTCAACCCCTCTGGAAAATATGAGTTCGTCAATGGGAAAGATTATCCCATATATTAAGAAAAAAATGCTCCAAACCACCAACCAGTATATACTGTGTATATATATATATATAAATATATATATATGGGTAAATATTAAGTATGGTTATGTTTATATATATATATATACACATACCCATGTGTATATAATACTATACCACAATATATATATATATATATATTTATATATATATGTATATACATACATACTTTTGTGATTTCTGAAGTCAACTGTTTGGAGGGGAAGATCGTTCCCATCGCCATCACCGTCGCCGCTCCCGGTCGCTCCCGTCTGCAGCTTCGAGGCCCATCAAATCCAGGAACTGAGACGATGGAGGCAGAGGCTGCTCCTGTCCGAGCCCCGAGTGGGAACAAGCTACGGTGGATGGGCCAGCGAAATCACCAGTTGAAATTTCGGTGGTTTATCCCATTATTTATAGGGTTTCAACCATCCAAGGTGATGCAGGATTTTGCAACCATCCACAGTATGTCTATGGATGTCTATGGTAGCTTCGAACTGCTACAGTTAAAGCCCTTTAAACCAGTCATAAATGGTTAAATCATCAATGGGAATTCCAGGATCCTAAAATGGAGGTACGCTAGTACCATAGAAGGCCATATTTTCCGGGGATATTCCCTCACATAGCCCCTACATAGCCCTTACAGCCCTTACATAGGCCTGGTTTTTTCATAGGCCTTTTTTAATGGTAGGTACCTCCAAATTTGGGTTCCTGGAATGGCCATTGAAATCATGTTAAGTCCAGGATGCGGCGATCATTCCATGACTCACACGGAAAAGCTCAGGACGTATCTGGGAGGTCCTGGGGGTCAAGTTCCCACATCCAATCTGTGCTGGATCTCATTTATATACTTATATATATATAATTTTATGTATGTATGTATGTATGTATATATATATATATATGTATAATCATAAAAATCATTATAAAAACAACAATAACAAATATATATATATAACATTTATATGATGTTATCTGTTGATGGAATATTTATCTGCATTTCTGGATGATTTTGGACCATGGAGCGCCTCGGACTTCTGCAGGACCAAGGGTTCAGAGGCTCGGCGGAACCTGTCCCGACGCTCTTGCAAGGACTCCTGGCGGTCAGACCCTCACAGTGGCTGGTTATATTATATGCTATGCAAATAATATCAAATAATGTTATATAGATTCATAATTCAGGTGAACATATATATATATATGTGTGTATCATGAATCATGTGTATATACATTTTTACATAACCTGAAATAAGGTCATTTGGGGATGATTCCCCTTTTTGGGCCGCCATTCCAGTGACGTGGCAACGTGAAGTCGTTAAGACTTATCCAGTTATCCAAATGTATTCAAGATATCCCAGAACTTTCGCGTGCAAGTTTAACTGGGCACCTTGACAAAGTACCAGTTCAACTTGAACCTTTCACACCGTTCATGTTTTACTTGGCTAGCAAATCGACCGATATGGGCCGTATACATTGGAAGCTGTAATCTATTAGGGCATGGCAGGATTGATGAAGGCTCAAAATGCCCCTACTTCCTTAGATGAAAAAATGTAGCGCACGATTTTGCGCGTTGGCTGCATATTGGGCAAAATATTCTCAAGGCACACATAAAAGATGAGATTGCTAATGGTAGGTATAGCCCTTCTTTCCCTGTAGAATTTTAAGTCTAGGGGTTGGGAAAGGCCACGGAGTTTCAATTCATGTGCAATTAAAATGTGCGAGTGTGTCGTGGAAAGTGCGATTTTCACACTCAAATTCAAAAAATCCAACATTTCCTTGAAAAAACTCAAGCGTGATTTCAGCGTGAAAAGTGCGTGAAAAACTTGTGATTTTGGAGTCATCAATAAACTTTCAAAAATGATTCTTCAATCGTGAATTTATTCAGTAGCCAGTGGTTCATAGCCAACACTATTACTGATCCGGGGGACCATGAACGTGCAAGAGTCTCTCCGGAAAGCGCAAGAAAGGGCACTCAGGGCCAAAGCTGAAGTCAATGGTTCTGATGAGTCAGGGCCCCAAGGTCACTTATGAATGATATATGTGTTTATCTTTCTAGTTTTTCCATGGTATATGTATAAAGGTTCTTGCTTCCGGGACGTTTGTGCTGATACTGTAGTGGTTGGTGGATATCTTAGGGGTTCTACTGGGGTGTATGTATCTTTACATATATATATATATAAGTTATATATATATATGTATCAATTCTATATCATTTTTTAGGGTCAAGTGAAAAGGGTACTTTCAGTGAATCGTGTACTTTCTAGAATGTGCAAGTTTAACTGGACACTTTGGAAGTTCAGGGTATTCAAGCTACATCCCATTTATATGGGATTATAATGGGATTATAATGGGGTAATGGGATTCAATACCCATATAATCCCATATAATTCCATTGAAACTCATTATCTTCAGGTGGGGAAAAAAGAACAACAAACACCAGGATGGAAGGATTGGTAACAACAATACGTGAAATGCGGACCGATCATTAATTCATTATATGTTTTGGTGAGAAAATGACAGACGTCCCAAGCAGTATCCATCTTTAAATTCACCATTATGTCATCCACCCAATTCCATCCATGAAAAAAAATCAATTCCCGGACTATCCCCCCAGCGCCAGCTCCTTCTTGAATGACCTTAAGTTTCCAGCCACAGGCCAACTCTGAGTCACCAACTCTGAAGGGTCCGGAGTGGGACCCAACAGTGTCGATGCGGTCAATGGTGCGATGCGAGGCAAGTGGGGAGTAGCCATGGCTGGATCAGTGGCGATGGCTTTTGTCCGCGCTGGGCGTCTCTTTTCAATGCTGGAGCCAGGACACAGGTATCGCCAAATGCAAACCATGGTGCTGAAATATTTACCTATTTATCCAACAAAAATCACCCAAAATGCGGCTGACTATTCCTTCCATCGAGCATCTTCGGGTCTAGGAGTCTAGGAACACCGCCGAAATGATGATGGTTTGCCCGTCAAAATTGTTGACACCGAGTCACAGGATGCCCGAGAAAGGTGACCAAAAAGCCCAGTTTCAACACACTGGCCTCGGAATCCATGGGAGCCCATAGAAGCGATGTCTTAGGCATGGCATATCATGGCTTCTTACTTAGAACATGTTATAAGTGCCATATGTATCCAGAAAAGTGCCATAAGCCCCATCATATTATCAAAGTGGGTTGGCCGACATGTTGTGGGGAGACTTGCCCGGGGATTGTAGCTCGCCAAAATGGTAAGGGCTAGGACATCCAAACTGCACAACAATCCTACAAAATCCCAGCATGGTGCAAGTGGAGAATGCACCTCCCCAACCATGTTGCACTAATCTCGGACTGTAAGACCTTGCATGTGGCTTACGTAGATTACGTCGTGACAAGTGTGTGGGACAAAATGTGGGCCTCATTTTGTGCCCCTTTTGACTGGTGGTTTCACTCCAACTCTCCGCAGCAGTTGCAGGCCGTATGGATCGTATGGATGATTCAAGACAGTGATGCTGTTCCCATGGGAAATCCGGTCCAAGCGTCCAGGATTTGCATCACGCCCACCATGGCTGCCGTCAAACATGCGAGTCCCACATATTCTTCCGGACAGGTCTCAGGCACCGCGTGGCCCATGGTGGTGAAACATGGGGGAAAAGAAGACACCCGGAGACCTGAAACTTGGGGAACTCCCCGTAACTCCCCAACTGTTTTTTTCACGCTACTGGTATAACTGCTCACACTTACAAGCCCGAAATGAATGGAAATGACTCAAAGATAGGCTCCGGATGCACCCATGGCCCATGTTGCAACCCTTTTGTACATCTTTTCGGTTGCATTTTTTTGTTGCAAGTCGCATCAAACCACAAATGACCGGGTCTTGTCGAACTGTGGCTTTTTACGACTGACACTTCGGGATAATTATTCAGGAGGCCCCTACTACATCCCAGTCGCACAAAGACACATCCAAGCCATCAGCAACCCGGGGTAACCCCAGCAACCTCCCTGCAACCCATCTTGACCTTGGACTATTTTGGGCTGAGTAAAAGGATGGTCCTCTTGTGTCAACAAATATGTTCTGGTCATTTTTTGTAAGGGCGCTAAACATGTCAAAGCACAGGATCAACAATAACAAGCCTGCGGACCGAAAACCGTTCCCGTAAAACGCACGTTTTTGAATATCGCGATTGTGGGGTGGGGTGGGGGGGGCATGTTAACGTTCCTTGTACTTCGTACATAAAATATTGCCACGCTGCTGAGATCTCTGGGATCGTTTACTACGTTACATGTTGCTACGCTGCTGATGGGGTGGGGTGGGGTGGGGTGGGGGGGGGGCATGTTAACGTTCCTTGTACTTCGTACATGATATATTGCCATGCTGCTGAGATCTCTGGGATCGTTTACTACGTTACATGTTGCTACGCTGCTGCTGGGGTGGGGTGGGGTGGGGGGGGGGCATGTTAACGTTCCTTGTACTTCGTACATGAAATATTGCTACGCTGCTGAGATCTCCGGGATCGTTTACTACGTTACATGTTGCTACGCTGCTGAAAGTGGAATCTGATGAAAAAGTCAATTCCCAGCAACTTGAGTGCCAAAAGTGACCTCTTGATGGTGTATGCTAGAGCTTGGCAATGGAGATGCATTCACAAGAATGCTGACTGCCAGCTGATAACAGTGCATGTGTTGCAGCGATGACGCTGAAAAGCCAAAAAACGCGCCCCAAGTTTTTCCATGATTTCCAATCATCAAATCAGCACGGCACTGTGGTAAAATCACATTTTTTTTAAAAAACGTGCGTTTTATGGGAACGGCTTCCGGTCCGGCGGGAATAACAAGCACAACATTGGATGTGTGCGAGCAAAGGCAAATCAATCAAGAACACGCACATGTTCTATTATCTCCTTATAACTTGATGCTGATTTCACCCACCACATGCCCCCCTATTCCCCCATCCCCACTATCCAATCAGAATCACTATATCCACTGATTATCCACTGACTATCCACTGTCATATTACCAATCCACAACATTGCACATCTCCAGAAATTCAGATATGGCCCACCTATCCCATCCCCCACCCCGGGCCCCATCCATTTTGATCCCCGCCTCGTACTGCGGCTTGTCCTCCACCGTGCACTCCGGGCCCAGCTGTCCATTGAGCCCGGCCTCCACCAGGAGGGAGACCATGGCCACGGGGCCCACGGCCAGCTGCCGGCTCTGCCCGAACAAGGCGTAGATCAACGTGGGGACGCAGGCGGAGTACATGCCGTTGATGTACGGCAACCTGGGTGGGCAGTTCTGGGATCAAAGGGGGTCAAGGTATCGTTTTGGTGGTGAAAGGTGGAGCTTCTTGGGCTACGTTTTGGTGATGGTTGATTCTTGGGAGGATTTTTTTTGTTGATGGTCGGAGGCCTGCTGTACCAAGGTGTCATAGTGGTTTTGAAACAAACATTTGGAAGTCTGACCCTCCAAAACATTGATGCACCTATCTCAACCTATTTCTCTGCTTCCGTGCATCGGCACCTCCATGTCCTATCCTGAGATATCCTGAGTGTGAATTGTTCCGAAACAGTCTTCACACCTGAAATGCCTTGGTCTCTCACCGTCGCCCCGGCCCAGGCGGCCCAGGCACCCGGCGATGGCGCCGTAGGACATGCTCTGGGGGATGACCATGACCCCCACCGTCAGCCCGGCCACCAGGTCGGCGCGGAGCTTGTGGCAGGTCATCTGCGGCAGCCATTCCAGGACGGTGACCTGGAGCTTCTCCGTGGAGTTTAGGTGGCAAGGACAAGAAATATATAAAATCCATGAAATTTGCCAAGATCACCAGAAATGGTTGGTATTTAGATGTATCTACCCCCCTGCTGAATTGGAGGTTGAGGGTTTAGGGTTTAGCACATTGAAGAAACTAGCTATGTTGGGAGGTTCGTTAAACATCATTAGACGATCTTTTTGGGGTTCATTTATTGGACGTTAAGTTTCAATTCTTCACATGTATTTGAAAACGGCTCTGGGCTTGTGGGAGTTGTACCCAAGATCTCTGCAGACCGGATTTATGCAAGGGGCTAAACTCCGGGTGCTGGTTTCAAATGGTTTTCAGGCTGAGGTCAACCACCAAACACCACCAAACACCAAGCATCCAGGACAAGCGGTGACAACTTGCGACAAGCGACAATCTTGGCCACTTTCTGGTACATGGTCATTTCATTCCGAGGTCGTTTTGACCTCAAAAAACTGGGCGGTGACGCATGGCAAATGAAAGGACAACATTGACAAATCCATGAGTAGCCTGCGGCAAAGCAACATTTTGAAGTATAATTATGTAATGGAACGGCCACCCTCTTCACATCTACATTCTTTGTGTCCACGCACCCACGCTGTGGCAAATCACATGCACATGCATCAAAACAAACACACATACACAAACGTATATATATATATACTGCATATATATACTGCATATATATATATATACTGCATATATATATATATATCTATACTGCATATATATATATACTGCATATATATAACTATATATATATAATATTGTAAAACAAAAACAAAATGCATATATATATATATATGTATATTGTATACTAATTATAGTATAGTGTATATATATATATAAATATACACACCATATATTGTATGTATACATATGTATATATATATATATATGTATATATATATATGTATATTGTATACTATTTATAGTATAGTGTATATATATATATACACCATATATTGTATGTATATATATATATATGTGGCTTCAGGGGTCTTTGGGGCGTTCTAAAATACGGTGTGTATGTATATTATCGTACCAGTATTTATATATTATGGACATATGCTTATATATATATATACAGTATTATTTATATGTGGACAAAGAGGCTTAAAAACATACAGTAGTATGTATTGCCAGTTTGATACATGCCGCATTTGTTGCCGTGGAATTTTCTTATGGGTGCTGAATGCCTTCAACTCATCCCTCAAAATTCAAAAGCATTGGTCATTGGGGATTATCATGCCAGGTATGGACAGCAAGAAAATATTTTGAAACCCATTGAAACCCATATCAATGCCCCTGCAATATGGCTTTATGTGGTACAGTAGCTCCATCTTAGGGTCCTGAACTTCCCATTGACCATACGCCAAAACAAGAGATTGAACGGCGAAATGGACATTTCTCGGTGGCAAGTGGTGGCCCTGTCAGTTCTATGGAGCTCTTAGGACGAGGCAAGCCTTGGATAACCCCGGATTCATCAAGCCTGGTTGATTAATTAGGGAGTCATATCCGCTTCTCAAATGGTAATTTGGATCTCCCTAATCACGAATTATTTGATGGCTAATTAATTACTATAGTTGTTGAGTATCACCAATCACTACTGATATCTAGCACCATAGGATCCATGGTGCTGCTTTATGTGGTAACATGGATCCCATCAATATACCCCAAATGTGAGCGTATATATATATTTATACCATACATGGATCCTATGGGTATGGGTAAATCAACTATTACTATGGCCATTTTCAATAGCTTTTTGTATGTTTACCAGAGTCCCACCATCTCATTGGATCGAACATCTCCACCACCCAATAGATCCAGAGTCGGAGCTCCCTTATGACCATCATGCCACATGCAACATATCATTTTATCCATATTTATCCGTAGATCAATGGATTGGTCTAAGGGAAAATCTGCAGGAAACCATGAAAAATTTCAATATGTTTCATAGGGAAATTCCATGGTTTCCTGCAAATTTCCCCCTGAACCAATCCATTGATCCATAGATCTCAACGCCCCCCGAAGCTTCCGAAACTCGCTTCGGCACTTCTTGGGTGTTGACGCCGCGTCGTCCACCACTCCATTGATCTGGTCTGCGCAGGAGCGCATACACATTTTCACCTCGGAACTCGTTTACCGATTTTTTTTGCGAAAACTTGAGAGGAGCATGATGATAAATGGTGATAAATGGTGATAATGGATGTGGATTTGACTGGAATCATATGGGAATTATATGGGAATTATATATATATATATATATGTATTTCAAATGTTGTTTATTGTTGTGAAAGGGAAGATAATGAAAGCAAACGTGTCATGAGGCGTAGGTGTCATGAGACATAATTTATCATAAAGTCAGACATCAATGCTTGGAGGGTTTCGCATCACTTTGCAAAACAAACATGCGTAAGCACACCCCAAAACTCATATGCTATCACCTCTGCATGATCCAACATCGCTCTTCAACCCACACAAACGCTGGATTCAAACGCAAACCACGGGAATGAGAGCCAGATCACCCTAAAACCACCAATAAATCCACTGTCCACCCCCACTTCTTTCATGTTATTTCCACCTTCCCAAAATCTTCCAACTCTGGCCAGAAAATTGATGTTCATCATTCTTCACCCCGAACATCTAGATTTCTCAAATTGTCGGTTTCCATAGTTATTTTTTCCCCAAACATTCCCACCAGCAGGTCTTCCCAATCAGCGCCACCCAACACTACCGGGGCACGGGGTTGTTAATCAGCTGCCGCTCCTGAAGGATCTCACGTTGATCCTGGGAAACCTCCTCACCACAGGTAATGATCTCGATGGACTCGCCCTTCTCCATGCGACCCACGTCCACTTCATCGTGTTTCCTGGGGATGGGGGATGGCAGGATCGCGAGAGTTGGTGGAAATCACATCACTTAAATTCCATGGTTTATGGTATGGCTATAAAAAAGCAATGAAGATTCATTTTTATTCCGGAAGTTAAGGCGTATTTCCCGAGATAAAATGTGAGATTCGATGAGATGGAATGGGTTGAGGATCTGATTCTTTTTTGGATGGGATGGGAGAAAACCAAGGAGTTGATGATGATGTTGATGATGATGGTTTGAGTAATGGGATGGGAAGGGAGATTTTGCTTGGATGTAAGTGATGATGGCGATGAGGATATGTTTCCCTAGATGGTATGGGAGGGAACAAATGAAACAGGGAGAAAGAGAGAGAACAACAATATGGGGCTGATGGTGATTGATGGGGATAGACATTATAGATGTAACGCATATCATATACCCGATATACAACTCCAGCATGGCCAAGAACACCCACAGTGTTCAAGAACTCACTGTGAACCCTGATTCCCTGCCATCATCCCCCATCCAAATGTCATGTTCATTTAAAGTCAACCGTGGTAAGGCCACGTAAAAAGATGCAGCAAACCCAACTGTAAACCGAAATTCGGCAAGGCCTAATTTAGACACACCAATTGGATCCAAAGGCTGTTCTTAAATATCAGGTGGGACCACGGTGGGGATTGTGAAACCCCACCCCAAATCCATGTTTTCCCTGGATCAATTGCAAATTTGGTTGCTTAAATCTCTCTCCCTCTCTCTCTCCCTCCATCGCCCTCTCCAAGAAGTCAGACTGGGCTAAAATCACAATTTCTTGCCCATTTTCTGAACTTGAGGGGATGGTTCAAATGTTGAAGAAAAACATCAAAAGCAATATTGTTTGAATACCATGTTAAATCAAATATCCATATTTGCCTTGTTACCTCCTGGTAATTACCACATAGCTATGGAAAATGTGCCATTTGTAGATGATGCACCTAGTATTGAACACTAGAATTTCCATAGCTATGTTAGTTGAATTACATGAAAAAACACCATACTTTAGCCTGGCTTGATGGTTAGGTTAAATCACCATTTTCAAATATTTTCAATAGATCACCACAACATGAAAACGAGGTTCCACTAAAAACCTTCTGGTATCCCTCCATTTATAAGTCGTTTTCCTTTGCCTTACCGAATGGGTAAATCACCATATTTGCCTTAAATCATGTTAAATCCCATCATTATCCCCATTGCTTCATGGTGAAATCCCCATGTTTCATAGATGTTGTAGATCATTTGCCTATTAAACAATATGAAACCATAGGGGATTTTCCGGCTTGCCATGTTTGTTTTTTCGAGCCGGCCGAGCTATGTCGCTATGCCGAGCTTCCACCGCGGCTCGATGCCGCTGCCCAGCGCCACCGCATGCATGCCCGCCATGGCTGATGTTTGGGCAAATTGATGGGTAAATCTGGTTATGGTTTTATATTGGTTATGGATGGTTATGGTTATATGGTTATATGGTTATTGGTATGGTTATGAATTGTTATGGTTATGGTTTATGGGTATGGTAATTTGTTTGGTTATGGATGGTTATGGTAAATTGGTATGGTACATTTTCTCTGTCCAGGGAGTCCAGGGTGCTTTGTAGCTGGCCAGGACACAACTATTGGGTAAGCGAACTGTAAAAAACTAGGAACATGGTAAATTGTTATGGTTTTATATTGAGTTTTATGTGTGGTTTTAGTGTGTCACAGTCAATATAACTCAATATACGAGTGCAAACGTGTATAAAATAATTACTTTGTGAGATCTTTCTAAATCTACTTACTCTCTAGATCTCTCTAGAAATTGTTTTTGCTCTGTCTACAGAGGCTTCAGGTCGAAAGTGACTTCAGCGATGCCGCTTGCATTGCATGGCGGTTCTGGGGTTTTAACGGATGAGGCTGATGGCGGACAAAATCGGCTGAGAGTAAGAACGTAAGAAGGAGAGGGCGTTATATGTGTTATATTCTTTCAAAGCTGTATATCATATATTGATGTTTGGTCCTGCGAATTCGTGTTTTCACATCTTTGTGATTCAATGAGAAACTCACCTAAAGATACCGGGATTGTATGGATTTATTGACAACTATCCATCTATCCACAAGATAAATAAATATATATATATATAATAAGACTATTATAGATGTGGATATAATACTGTACTACTATTATTTTAATAGTTAATTAAATAAATATATATATATATACATATATAAACAACATGTCTTTAATAAATAATAATAATAATATATCACCATAATACTCCTTAATAATCATCAATAATATGTAATATTCATTTGACCGGTGGACTTCACTTTCATCTATGGCGTTCTCTCGTTTCATCCTTTACCAGGCCGTCGCATTGTGGCTTCCGGGCCCATCCGTATCCTCAGGAAATGGGGCGCGATATCCATATGCCAAAGACGGCCTAAGCCAAGGCGCATGGCCAAAGATGCCACCCCTACCGTGGGACCTGATGGGACATGCTTCAAAATTCCGGAGCAAGTTCCTGAAAAAGTTCATGACCTCGAATTTGATGGTTGAGAAATCATTATTCTGAAATTGTATGAAATTGTCATTTTAAGAGACACCACCTATTTTCAGACACTTCACATCCAAAAAAAATGGCAATGTGGCAATGTGGCAATGCGGCAGTGCCTAAATCCCATGGCTTTTCCCATGATTTTTGGCCGAGTTGTGCCCCATATTCAGCTCGTCAGGGACGAGCATATGTCACCAGGACTGTCACCAGGATGTCTGGAAATTTCGGGAGGTATCAACCAACCAACATCTGAGTAACCTATATTTCACTAGTCAATGGATTATAGTGGTGTTTAAGCCAACTTATACCCTCTGAGATTTAACATAACTATGGAAAATGGACCTTTTACGGACTGTTTAGTATTAAACATGGTTATTTTCCGTTAATAACAAGCTTAGAACTAAGGGGCACCCCCGGTAGTACCCTTGAACAAGGCCCGTCTCAAACTTCTCCACTGGGCCCCAAGGCTTTCCATAGTGCGGTCGGTGGTGGTCTAAGGGTTTTCGAACCTGATCAATTGGTGGTTTTGTCCCCAAGACCCACAAATGATGGGGGCCAGGTCAAGTTGACGACCTGGATTTACCACAGAGAAAACTGCGTTTTGGCACCTGGCAGCCAGCTATTCAAATAGCATGCCTGGATGCCTGGAACTTTCAGCTAAGAAAAAAATATGTTCGTTGATTGTTTCGGGCCTCATCGAACCACCCAACATACGTTCCAGAAGGGATTGTCCACCCCAGCCCATGAAGGAAAACCCCGAAAATAATTCGTGTTTCATCCTACTTGCTCCGTACTATAGACTATATGAAACAATCAATGTCCGAGCTGTAATGGGGATTAGTATAGGCTTAGCCCTCTTAAAATAGGGTTCCCTCACCCTCTTCACCGAGTAGGCTCAGTAGACAAAAAACATTTTTTCATATTTTTTCGACAATTTCACCACAAAAAAAAAACTTGGAGAACTTGGACCGTGCACCTCATAGCTGTGGTGTGGACCAGGTGAACACATATCAACAGGAACCAAAGTACTCGGCAGCTTCCTGGGCTGTCAGGACCCGGGACGCAGGACCTAGTGCTGGGGTGAAGGCTGCTGACTATGTGTTTCTGTTTTTGGTTTGTTTAAAGGGCAATAACACTTTCAAATGTATGTCATGTTTAGTCAGTTTTAGTGTCTCGTCCATTTGTTTGAACCCAAATTTGACCCATGCACAACACTATATAAGCATTTTTGATTGGCACAGCTATGATGATGCTTCATAGAAGAGCCATGATGGGCCATGATTTGGGGAAAACCGTGGTGCCAGTGGTGCCCTGGTAAATGGCATCTTGCAGAAATGCCAGTGGTGCCTTTGTTCTCTGACCCCCAAATCTCCCATGAGGATCCAAATCCAAACATATCCTTTTCCTCCTGACAAACATGCAGAGAAGCTATCTGTGTGTCTTTGACATGTTGAATTCACCAAATAAATCTAAACAAACATTCCCTGCATTGAATCTATTGAAACAATTTGAAGCAATAAACATATATTTTGAACATGTCGAACTCATCAAATATCTGCCAAAAGGCAAAATTCATTAGGTCGCCAAAAGGCAAAATTCATGCCACTTCCCATGGGTTTCCGCCCTTTGACGCAGGCCTTCCCAGGGAGGTTCTGCAAAACTCAGGGCCATCCAAGGGAGATCGAGATTTCGACTTGGCCAGGGCGAGTCGGGTCACCACAGTCGGGTCGGCTACATCCCACCCAGCTAGCGGAACTTCACAACCATCAGTAGAACCCAGTTACGCGTATATATGTATTAAATATATATATATATGTATGTATGTATTGTATGTATGTAAATATATATATACATAAGTACCATGCATATATTCAAACAAATATATATATATATATATGTGTGTGTTTATATGTACAATATGTGGAATATCCCCAGTACATACTGCATGGGTATTGTTTCATACATAATAGCTGTGTTTGTTTAGCTTCTATAACTGGGGTGCACAGCGAACACACAACCAGTAAGCAAACCAGTTGCCCATGGTGGTCGACTGAGGATCTGGGACAGGGTGCGTTTTTATATACCTAGCACATAGTAGACATTACTAGCCTAGATAGTAGTACCAATATCCTCTCATTTTGTGGCATCCCTGCGAATGCCTGAAGTTCATATTCTTCATCCACCGTAGCCAAGTCATTCAAAGAAGCTTTAGAAGAGTATACGCAATGTGTACCCTGTACCCTTTGGTAATTTAAGATAGTTATGGAAACCATGACCCATTTATAATTGATTTGCCCTCTGGCAATTAAACATGGTAATTGTAAATCCCCTAACTAAATGGAGGTTCCTAGCTGGGAAAATCATCTAACTAAACCATGATGAATATTCCAGCTAGCCATGTTCGATGACCTGATGGTACCCAGGATTTTCCATAGAATTTTCCATGGCGGGTTCTGTCAAGGCAAGCTGAGTCACTGCCGAGGCGACGATGTTATAACTTCCTGACAGGGCCCAGCCACTCTCCCAGCCGCGGTGTTTTTTTGGCAAATCACGAAGATAAGAAACCTTTGAGCCCCTCACCCAAATAGATACTCAGTACGTATATGTATATATATATATATTTATATATACGCATATGTGTGTGTGTGGTGCATATGCATGTGTATAAATATATATATATACAGATATGTGTGTAACATGGTAATTTCTTTAGACACGCAAACATGTTTTGCATTGCCGCGCCAAAATATTAAGTTAATATAAGTATCAGCTGAAGGTTGACTGCAAAAGTTGGGTTCCGGAATTCTGCAAAATAGCTATACTTGGGGTACTCTTCTATGTTCAAACACACCCGAAATCATTCTTCATTGCTTAAAATCAAAAATTATGTTGCTGAAATTGGCAGTTTGTTTGATCCAAACTTTTTAGAATCCGTTTATAATCCACATTTTGGTGGTTCACCATATGATCCATTGGTTAAATCCATCTTTTGGTGCTGAAGCACCACCTCGGGTGGTGAAAAAATTGGCCCCCCATGGACCTGGTCCAACTTTGGCGGGCACCGACGTGTCATTGATGTTCTGGCGCATTGGGAACATATGTTTTTGTCAAAAAAACACTTAAGCAAACCCAGGCGATTTTTTTTGAGGGGTTCATCTGTTGATTTTTTCTGGTAGTTTTTGAAGGGTTCACCTGTTGATTTTGTGTCTGGTAATAAAGTATAGTATAGGTGTTGCTAAATAAACAGTGGCAACACTCAGGTTGGAATGTGGCATCTGTTCTGATTTTTTCTCAATGTTTTTGGGGGACCAAACAGTGAGGTGGTCAACTCCAGTGAAACCAACGAGTTCCAGTTCATGCCGCAAGCATGGCATCGTGGTCACGTTTTTGAAACTAATGACAACAAGTTGAAGAACATGTCAGGGTAATGTCTAGCAAATACCCTGGTGACATAACTATTAAAATCATCACGTTTGATATCATGAGTCATCTCTAAATGATCCATAACCTCCATAACTACAGCCTGTCAAATTACCAAATGGTGAATGGCATTGAGACATTTTATGTTCTACCATGTTCTACCAATTAGTTGAACACTCCTCCTAGTGAAGGATTCAAGTGCCCAACCCCCCAAGCCGATTCCTTCACCATGCTGGTGCAAGAGTATCCGTTGCATTGCGTGGGAAGTATCATGGCATCCTTTTTCCAACAATATGTATACATCTAAATACAAATACAAACGCACACACGCACACACACTGATGATCGAGTAAGTAAATAGTTTACTCTGCAATAGTAAAAAGTTTACTCTGCAAGAGGGTTCCAAAGTTGGTACATGTTAGACAATTATTTCAGAATTGGTTCGAAATATTCAAATGTAGTAACATATTCCGGTTCTTGGCTTAGCCGGTCGCCATGTTCGACAAATTGAAATGCTGCAAAAAGCTGGGGTTGAAATGGCAGGTACGTGACAAAGGCGACAAAATGCATCCTGGAACTATTGGTAAGGAAGTGTACAGTCGAAGCGTTCCACAGGTGCACCCAGCTACACGTATCCAGGATCGCACCAGGGGACGGGGGGGTTAAGCCAAGCTGCCGAAGTTCAAAATCAAGCTGCTTATGCTGCTTTTCATTATAGATTCCCGGCCGCATGGCCCGTTTCCGTGTTGTGACGTATTCCTGTCTGTGACGTTTTCCGTTAATCGTAATTCATACATGTCTGGCTGGAGCCCTATTCCCGGCACCAAGTCCCGTCTTCAGGGTATTGCAGTATATTGCAGTACCCCACTCCCACTCTACACCGGAATGGCCGGCTCCGGTGCAATGCATGCCACAGAGCGAACAAATGGCACTCACAAGTCAGTGAGACTGTGCCCGACACACACTGATGATTGAGCAAGTAAATAACTTACTGCAATAAGAAATTTAGAAAGGTTATGTAGTCGTCGCCTCGTTCGACAAATTGAAATGCTGCAAAAAACTGGAGTTAAAACGGCAGGTACGTGACAAAGGCGTCTCTTCGTCATATCACCAAAGGCAGTGTCTTCGTTGGTGAATGGCTGCCAAACCATGCCTCCACCCCCTGCATCTTTGGAATATACGTGTATATATATATATATTTATTTATTTATTTATATATATAGGTGTTTTCATGCCTTCGTGTTTTCATTTTGTTGCTGCTTCTTGACCACGTTTTTTCTAAGCTTTTGCTGCTGTCGGGTGCCTGCTCTGCCGGAACTACCTAGTCACTACCTACGTCATCATATTTTCCATTGTCCCCATTGTCATCTGAAAAAGTCTAACATAGTCCAACCTTTCTGCACCCCAACCCCATCGTCACTATCACCATCAACATCAGGATCACCATCGCCATCTTCACGCTCAAAAAAAAAACATGCTCATATTCAGCGGGCGTCTTGCTATCACATTCTCTTCACCCTTAAAAGACATGCATGCTCAATGAATCTTGAAACAGCGATTTGAATTATTGCGCGTGACCCGTTTGGAGTGCGAGCTTCATCGCCGAATATTTTTCTGAATATTGACAATTGACAATGAGAATTCACAATTTTCAGGCTATAAATGCACTTCACACAAGAACGTGACAGCGAAGTGTTAATCCAATGGAAGTTGCAGAACGCTGTAGTTGGAAGGCAAACTTCCCCGGATAGCTTTTGGCTCTCCACTCCTCAAGTTGGAAATGGTTTTCCCTTTAGTGGGGCCAATATTTTTCTAGATTTTGGACCTCCCCATCTGTAGTCTGGAGGCGGCGAGCTCTTCCCAGAAGAGCTCTCCACCCAAGCCCCCAACATGGAAACCCCAAAGCGGCTAGCTATTTGTTGGACATGGGCGGGTTGAACCTTAAAACGCTACTGTATCTCTAAAAAGAAATATGGAAGATTTTGAAATGACATCCTTAATCTTGGGGCGGCAAGCTATTCCGATTCCATGGGCAGCGAGCTATCCTGATTTCGTTGGCGGCGAGCCACTGCGTGATATCTGTCAGTTTACAAAACTATTCATAGTATCTAAAACAAAGTAGCGAAAAAAAACAAAATTACCTTGGGGCCCATGCTCCACTATGATTTATCTAAGCATAGAATAGTGTGAGAGAACGAAGGCCTAAAATGGATGGGATGATTGCAATTCCTTTTAGGGTGTATAGTCAATTCAGTTAAAAACTCGAACCACAACACCCCACACCGATTGGTGACTAGTGGCACCCCTCCACCCCACGAATGTTATCAACTTGGCCACCAACAAACCCTGGAATCCTAGAACCTCAAGCCCTTGGTTGGAAAGCCACATGTCCAGCACCACCCGGTAGCCAAAACACTATCCCGTGAAAACACTAAAATTTATGAAAGTTCCTTAGAAGTACAGTGACTTGCAGGTCTCCTATAATGGCGGTACCCACAAATCATCCAAATTAGACCATGGACCATGACTTCGTATTTATCAGAAAACCCCATTAATATCACTTAATATCCATTAATTATATAATTATATAATGTTGGTAAAGCAATAATAAATCATCCCCCAAATCATCATATATGTGGTGTGGTTACCATTCCCAGTCATGGGTGGTTTATGACATTGTTTTACCCACATTATGTAAAATGTCAATCCTGGATTGATAAACCCCTTGGGAAGGTACCATTTAAGTATCAAATCATGACTGTTGGGGGTATACCCTCCTCATTAACCTAATTAACAAACCATGGTTTATTAATCCGGGGTTGACATTATAATGATATACAGAGTTTCCTCATTGCCATCAATATCTCTGTATCCCTCCCGCCATTCCCACGCCTTTCGACCTCCGAATCCCTGGGTGCATTCCTTTCCGATCTGCGCGGCCAGCGAAGGCTTCCATGGGTTCCATGGCAAACAAAAAGGGACAAAAAGGGACCACAGAGATATATGATATAATATGGTTCTGAATAATCAAAAAAACATTCAGATGATATATAATCAATATATAATAGATGAAAATTATTATTTTCAATTTAATATGGAGCGTTTTGCGATGGTTTTTAGTATAAACCTCAACAAAGAAGAGTGGTCATGTTGTGGTGACCTAGCCAGGCAGGTTCGAAGCTAAAATGGTGCCCATGAAATTAGATAGATAGATAGGTAGATAGATAGATAGATAGATGGATAGGTAGATAGAAAGAAAAAAAGATAGATAGATAGATGGATAGATAGATAGATAGATAGATGGATAGATAGATAGATAGATAGATGGATAGATAGATAGATAGAGAGATAGATAGAAAGATAGATAGATAGATAGACAAACAGATAGATAGATAGACAGGTAGATAGATAGAAAGATAGATAGATATGTATGTAACCGTGGGGCACCACTTTGTAGCAGGTCGCAGGTTGCCGATTTCTCATCATATCATATGCCTCGAGTGTGGGTGAACAAATCTAGCTGCCAATGGATGGTTTTTGCAATCGGGGTTACCATCTAGCAATCTAACGTTTATTTATGGAAGCCATGGCCATGGTCCATTTGATGCACTTTAATTCGATGATTTACCTATCCATTCTGCGTGATGATTTACCAACATTGACAGCAAAACTCTCACTGACTAGCAGAGTCAAAGGAATAGGTACTGTCTGTGGGTCCCGGCAGTGGACACATACCCCATGTGTCCAAACTGGGCCATTGCGGGCTTCCAACCCGCCACCGCACCTCCCACTTCAATTTTTGTAGGGGACTGTGTGCATAGAACTCCCGGCCATTGGGAGAATCCCTGAACGCCGCCCACAGAGGCCAGCTGGACATGGAAAAACATGATCCACCAAGATCCACCAAGCCATACAGATCATACCTACGCTCAGCCTCAAGCGATCGGAAAATTTACAGGACACCCTAACTTTTGGTGCTTTCCCCAGCAGGTTTTCCGCTTGCTCACCTTCTCGCAGCTGAGAAACTTCCAATGAGCTGTGGATACACACGCATTCCGTTGTACACGCAGGTAAATCGTAAATAGAATAATCACTGTGAATATACAATATATGTATATATATATATGTGTAAATAATACACACACATATATATATATTTTAGGTATGTATATATATATATACATATATTAACTAAGATTTTATTATACTATGTTAACTGTGTTATACTATATTTTAAAAATCAGTTATATAATATAATACATGTTTTATTATAATATATTATATTCAATTAAATAATATTATAGTATATTAAATTATATATAATTATACTACACACTATATAACATACTATACACATAATATTAAATATTATATTTAATACTATATTATATATTATATTAAATTATATATTATATTTTATTATATATATATTATATTATATTATATTATTAATTATATTATATTATATATTATATTATATTATATATTACATGATATTATATATTATATTAAATTATATTATATTATCGAAGGAAGTTTAGAAGTCAAACTTCCGACAATATGGACAGATGAAAGCAGAGGTGGGAAGAGTCAGAGAAGAGAAGAGAAGAAGAAAGAAGATGAAAAGAGAGAAAGTCTCAGAAGAAAGAAGATCCAGGTGCACGAAAAGGTAGGAAAGTCGCGAAACACGATTTTTCCAATGATCTGTGGCTCCAGAGAGGGTCGAAAAGTAGGCTCGCTAAAGCGGCGGGTGCCGAGCCCGCTGGGCAGATGTGATGAAATGGACGGATGCCTCGCACGAAACATCGATTTTGAGGTAGAAAATTTTGAGCTTCATGAGAAATGAAAACTCGTAGGAAAACAAAGATTTTGGAGCTAGAAAGCATGAAAATTTGAAGAAGTATCGCAAAAAACACGCTCGTTTTGAGGCTCCAACATGTCTCGTCTCGATTCTCTGGTTTTCTTCTGCCGTCGCCGTGTCTATGGGGGAAGCCGCAAAATAACGGTTTTAAGCATACTTTTGTCACAAAACACGGTAAATACCAGTATTTTTGACCGTTTAAAGCAAAAATCACTCCTCCATGAGGCCCGTTCTGTATGTATGTGTGTATGTGTGCATGTATGTATGTATGTATGTATGTATGCATGCATGCATGCATGCATGGATGCATGTATGTATGTATGTATGTATGTATGTATAAATACAATGTCCGTTTTTTGATTCAACCTCAATAAGTCATGCAAGACCGGGACTTTACAAATCTTTACAATGCTTGGATTGCTTGAGATGCCCTCCCCATCATCGACTCAGCAAGTCTCAGCAAGTCTCGTGCAGTGTGCAGGGCCTTCCCCTTCCAACAACTTTCTTGTGAGTAGCAAAACCTCCGCTGCATTCGCGTCGGGCTGGGCTTCAGGTGATACACCGCAGAACTCTACACCCAACATAGATATACCTGATACATCTGATCTAACTGGGGATATAACTGGTATACGACCAATATAACTGATGTAACTCGGGATAGAATCTGATATGACCATGATATAACTGAGGATATGAAAAACACATGACCGAAATGAGCGTTGAACAGGGTCATAAATCTTGACCTTCGCCCATTATCTGCCAGGAATGCCTGGGATTTGCAGGGCACTTCACTTGACTCAACCAAGGCACAAAGGTCACTTCAACAACCCCCACAAAAAAGGGACATAATATACTGGTTGGTGGTTTTGACAATCTTGAAAAATATTAGTCAATGGAAAGGATTATCCCATATATTATGGAAAATACAAATGTTTGAAACCACCAACCAGTGTAACTCTGTGTGAAAATATTGTATCCAAAAATGTGATAATCAGCATCATTTTCCCTAGCCATTTGGGCACGGGTCAATTGTACAATGGATGCCATGCATGCACTGCTATCCTCTGGTGATGGGCCAAAAGGACATGGATAAATAACACAACGGTTTGAGATGATCAACAATTAGATGGTGGTATACGCAAAAATTAATATCTATATAGTGTAACTTATAACATCTACGGTTGGTGATATGTTACTATCTGATCAGATGGTCTCAGTGCCAACAACATCTAAAGATTGTGAATTCGCGGGTTTTCTGACAAACCATGTTTGATTACAAGCGCGTGCTATTATGTCCGTCCCTAGAAAGGGATGATGATATCCAAAGCCTGAGATTTTGCAACGAGTCGAAAGCACCAACAATATGATGCAATGGTACTCCTGTAATTACAATATTATATTATATATATAAAATTCATTCAAAAAAACGGAACAACAACATTGTTCAAACTTAACATCATTGAAAACAAAATAAAAACTCTTGATTCTCCGGCCCTTTGATCTTGATGTCCAGCCAGAAGAAAAAAAAACGTACCCAGCTCTGGGCCCCCGGAACGGTCCGCCGTACCGAAGGTGGTGAGATTCGAATGGAGTCCGGAACTGGGCGGAGGCTATTGAAAATTGCCCAGTTATACCCAGCGCAGGAATCCAACTGCAACAGCATCTTCCACAGATCAAAAGGTGAAAAAATGGCACCCAGTTAATTATAAATGATGCTACATGCTACCCATTGAAGATGGTGATTCCATAGTTATGTCACTTATGTCTGTTAGTTTACCGGAGGGCATGCCGCAATGAGGCCAGGAAAGACAGAAATTCGATCGCCGCCCGGGCCCTTTTCTTGGGTGTCCAAGTTTTTTTTTCTCAACCGCTCCGCGACGAAGGACTGAGATCCAGTGGTAAAACTCATCTGCCCTCTGGTAAACCAACATAGCTATAGAACATCACCACTTTTAATGGGTAGATCAACTATTTCTATGGCCATTTTCAATAGCAAACTGTTAAATTACCAAAGGGTAATCCCGTTCTGATCCATGAATGACTTCAATTATCTTTAACCGGCGGAGTCCAGCCGTTGTTCTTCCCAGCTAACTTATTTTCATGGCAGTTTTCTCTGCCCACGCACGAGACCTCGCAAGATAAAGTATTCGTACATCACCTTGCCTTTTAGCAGTAGGATATGTGCCATAGGTGAGGGAAACAGAAATCTTAATCGTCCGAAACAACTGATTTTTTGAATGAACATTGAAACTCTGAACGCCTTGCAGCAGTAAATTAAAGGACCGGATAACCTCACAAGTCAACTTCATCCAATAATCAGAAAAAGTGGTTGAAGCGGCACGGAGAAAGAAGAAAGGACAAAGGAGATGGTGGAGGGTCGATCATTTTAAGAGTTGTATGTGAAGAGTTGTGTGTGTGACAAAGTTGTGTGTAAAAGAGTTGTGTGTGAAATGTGTGAAAGGTTGTGAGTGAAAGAGTTGTGTGTGTGTGAAAGATTGTGAGTAAAAGAGTTGTGTGACTGTGACAAAGATTGTGTGTGACAAAGTTGTGTGTGTGTGAAAGAGTTGTGTATGACAAAGTTAATTGTGACAAAGCTGTGCGTGAAAGATTGCTGGTGTGTGACAAAGTCAAAGATTGTGTGTGACAAAGTTGTGGGTGACAAAGTTGTGTGCGAGAGAGATGTGTGTGAAAATGCTGTGTGCGAAAGAGTTGTGTGTGACAAAGGTTGTGTGACAATGTTGTGTGTGTGACAAAGTTGTGGGTGACAAAGTTGTGTGTGACAAAGCTGTGTGTGTCACAGTTGTGGGTGACAAAGTTGTGTGTGAGAGAGAGGTGTGTGAAAAAGTTGTGTGCGAAAGTTGTGTTTGACAAAGTTGCGTGCGATAAAGTTACATGCGAGAGAGAGAGGGAGAGAGAGAGAGAGAGAGATGTGAAAGATTGTGCGTGGATGTGCGTGACAAAATTGTGTGTGACAAAGTCATATTTGAGACAGCGTGGATGTCACCAAGTGCCACGCCTGCCACGCAAAGAGCTGCGGCGACCACAGCGTCAACTGGGAACGGCGCTCTTGGTTCCCCGTTGACGCCGTGGTCACCACACAAAGATGTGGGGAACAAAACATTTGTCGAGTGATCCCAACCAACTGACATTCTATTCCGCAATGTCATTCTATCTATTATTTCTGGCATTCCATCTGTCAAATATATTCAAATATCATCCATTGTTTGAAGAATCCAAAGGTTTTGCATCGATCACATCCCCATGTTCAATATTTGATAGTTGAACCCCGGGCCCATTGTATGTAGTCCTTGAATGTAATCTTTAGTGATTCATCCCCTACAAAATGGTAGTTCTATCCCTATCTAGTAATTAACCACCCAAAAGAGATTCCGAACAGTATTTCCAGGATATTACTTCGACGATGTTTCCTCACCAAGGAAGTTCAACAAAACTCTTCAGTGCGACAGTTTTTTCACCTGGACCTGATCAGATTGGTCATTTAAAAAGCGAAAACATCTCATGAGGTCTCGATGGAAATGTGATACTGCCGCGGGTTCTCCTCACTCTGCGTCAGTGTGACTGAGGCTTCCAGGACATCGCCCGCCTCCACTTCCGGGAAGGCGCCCAAGTACACCACCTCAACGAACGAGGCAACAGAATCCACGGGACGTTGTCCGAATTCAACGGGTTTCACTGGCTCAACCAGGAAAATAGATGGTGATTTATGTGGGACAAATGGGGACTTACCTTAATGAGTTCATCATGGGTAAGTTGGTCTATGACTAGGCTAAGTGTTGGAATCTGTTGGAGGTGCGGTGGATATTTACACTCATGTGTATATATATATATAAATAAATATAAATAAAATTATATAAATAGTGTTATATTGTGATACGGGTTCCCTCTTGTATGTGCGTAGTATTTGTGGGGAGGACATCAATGGGGATAGAAGTTGGGATATGACAAATGAGCAATGTGTGTTAGTTTGAAGTTTATTGACGAGATGAAATGTGTGAATGTTAATCTTTCTTCATATGGCTATGGGTAAAAACCCTGCACGCCTGTGAAAAAAAAGTCAATGGATGTTCATCCCCATACAAATATGGTCTGACCCATCCCCATTCGCAACTATGGAAAAATAGTGGTTTGTCCTTTTGTACACCTCCCGTGACAAACATTGGTCGATTGGGATCATCATCTAAGATAAGATAGACAACCGCAAAATGTCCGAACCAGCAATAGTGTAGTCTTGTGTACTTAGTGGCTAGATATATAGATATAATATATATATATATATTGTCGGTGCCGGAATTATAGAACGGAAGTTGAGGAGTACGAAGGTACGGTTATTTACCGTACCCTGTTGTTCTATAATTCTGTTTTCCTCGGACGGTAGAAAAAAACGTATCTGAATTTACTCCTAACTTTTTTCGTCGTTCTATAATTCTTGTCGGAGCGCTGTTGTTCTATAATTCTGTTTTCCCCCATTTTTCCCACATTTCCCATTATCCTCATGTTATCCTCATTTTATCCTCGTTATCTCATCAAATCCTCATGTTTATCATCATTTTATCTTCATTTCCTTATCAAATCCTCATTAAATCCTCATTAAATCTTCATTTTATCATCATTTCCTCATCAAATCACCATTAAATCCTCATTTTATCCGCGTTTTATTATCATTTCCTCATAAAATCCTCATTTTATCTTAATTTTATCCTCATTTTCTCATCAAATCCTCATTAAATCCTGATTAAATCTTCATTTTATTTTCATTTTATCTTTATTTTATCATCATTTCCTCATCAAATCCTCATTTTATCCTCGTTTCCTCATCAAATCTTCATTTTATCTGCATGTTTTCTTCATTTCCTCATCAAATCCTCATTACATCCTCATTAAATCTTCATTTTATAGATTGTATATGTACAAATATGCAGTAAATATCATGTTAATGCCAGAAATTATAGATCGGAGCCAGGAGTAATTTAATTATAGAACGGGGAAATTTAATTATAGAACGGGGAAATTTAATTATAGAACGGATCCCCGTTCTATAATTAAATTTCCGGACTCCGCGCGGAATCGGAACCCGGAGGGGTACAAAGGTACGGTATTTTACCGTACTTTTGTACTCCTGGCTCCGTTCTATAATTCTGGCACCACCTGTAAATATATATATATATGTATATACATACATATTTGAGAGTATTCATGTAAGCTAAAATTGCTACAAATACCTTGAACCAATTGAGTAAACTGCATCAGCACAAGATGATGTTCAATCCTGGGTCATACTGAATCAACATCTCTCCAGATGCATCCACAAAATGGAAAATCCATGAAAATCCCCTATCAATGGAGGTTTACAGCGGAGAAAACAACATGTTTCAATGGAACAGTTAGTTCCAGTTAGCAAGCTAACTGACCACACTAGGTATAACATGGTACAATGTGCTTCACACAATAACAAACCATCCCCAAATCACCACAGTCATAGGTGGTTTATTATTGTTTTACCCACATTACTGCATCAATACTGCAGTAAATGATTGAAGTGGTTGGCAATTGATGTGCTTGCTTGCGCCACTCCTTGAGGTGATGTGGGTGGTTTCCCGGGTGAGTTTCTTGGGGTCATATCAAGCTGTAATGCCCTGCCGCAAAATGGGTATAAAGAGGTGCCATTGAAATATATCACCCAAATGTTTGTATATTTTGTACATGCTCCATGTGAGGAATAGGTCAATAGGTATCTACATGTGGGCTAAATGTAGATAACTCTTCCAGCACCATGTTTCGTATCTGTGTAAAACCCCAGGATCAACGACAGACATGACACCGTCTGCTTCCAATGCGTCGGCGGAGAGCCTGGGTCCGTCTTCAGGATCACCTCGTGGCCTCAAAATCGACGATTTTCAGGGGGGTTGCGAAGGAAGGAAAGGATCTACCCTCCGGCAATGGAGGTTTATAGCTGGGAAAATCATCTAGAAATGGATGGTTTTAATGAGAAAATTGTGGTTCTAATGATTTCTAATGGGACATGGCCAAGCTAAATGGAGGTTTATAGCTGGGAAATCATCGAACTCCGGGGGAATTTTCCAGCACACTGTCACCTTTGACATCTAGCCACTGCTAGGGCGGGGTGACCTGTCAAGTGGTTGCCCATAGTTAGCTTAAGTTGGTAAAGTTGGTTAAACACTAGGCTAACTTAGAATTATGATGATTTATGGTGGATATGAATCATCTACAGTTTTTTTTTTCTATTTGCTGTGCGTCAAAGAGTTGATCTCTTGCTGCAAATGCAAAGCGCACCCCTTCGCACGCTAATTGGATACAAAAGACATGTTGCTACCAATCTAGCACTACACCTCGATGTTCCAGTCATCATCGCCCCTGAAAGTCAGGCCTGTACGTAGGAAAGTCATAAATGGGCGAGCTCTCAGTGGCTGCTTCATGCAGCCATTGATGCAAGGACAAATCGTCCACTGTACAGTTGATGACCTTATGGGAACGCATCGAGGTTTCGAATTGATCTGTGAAAGCCCGTGCTAACGCACGGCAAAATAAGGGAGGATACTCTTTGCATGCCGCAGTATTGAAGCGCCCCTGCTCATCTACACCTTGTGCAACTTTGACAGGGTATTTCAGCGTTGGATCTACACACACGTACATGGACTTTGCCAACGACGGTAGTCGGATGCTCAACAGCCCTGTCGGTTTGGGGGTGGCACTCCCCCATCTCCATTGCGCAAAGGTTTGTAACTTGCAGTCAGGATCTTTACGCAGCAATTCAACTAGCGCAGAGCGCCAGATGCTTGCCTTCTCTTCATCCTCCGGGCATGCTGGGTGTTCACTCAGGAATACACCGCCTGTGGCTAAATGAAGCACCGCAATGAACAGGGTTTGCAACGAAAATTCCGTTCCTTGTCTACACTGGCGGAGTTCTTTGACGGTCAGCATGGCGAGCCCAAAGAGTCGGCTGGCTGACCGGAGCGGTCTGGGCCAACTTCTGTGCTCGTTTTGTTCAGGCGGGGGCAAGTGTCTGGCAGCAGAGAATGTTTCACACGGTGCCCCAGCCAATGTGGCTGAGACTGCTCCACTCTCATAAAGTGCCACCAATTTCTGCCAGGAGATAGCCTTGACATGCAAGTTTCCATAGGCTTGAGACACCGCCGTATCCATCGAGAGGATAGTAATCCTCGCACCTCTGTGGTTGGCCCATTGTGCAAGCCAATAGTGGACGTCCTGCTGACGTCTTCGTCCACTGAAAAGGTGTACCACGAGGAAATGTGGCTCACCACCTCGCAGCAATATAGGGATGGGCTGAGTGGGCAAACATTGGTCCCACTCCAGTGTTCTCAGCCGTTCATGCCAAGCAGTTTGATCTTCAAATCTCATCACCACGTGCCCCGCTGCAATTTGAGGCCGGGTCCCTGCAGGCGGTTTCACAACCCGATGTGGGTGATCGGGACCCTGTGCTAGGAGAACCTGGATGCGCTGGCGCAGAAAACTTACTCTTCTCCGATCAGCCGTGGTGGAGAAGTCCTGTGCAATCTCTGCAAAGGCCTCATCAGCAATGTACTCAGCTTCGCCATCATCAAAGCTGGCAATCACGTCACCCAAGTCTGTTTGTCCCCACGCCAGAAAACATCGCTCAATCCATGTGTCAAAGCAGGCTTCCCAATGTTCCTCTGGCTTGGCCAGGTGGGCCTCCAATGTCAGCATGACTACTTCCATCCATCGCTCTGGCAGAGCCACAATTGCCTCAGCATCGAAACCTGCTGCTTGGAAATCAGTCAACCAGCGTTGGGTACATGCGCGCAGGTTTGCATAAAACTCAGCACGTATCTGTTCCCCTTGCTGGGGTTCAACCGCCGTTGCAAGTCTCTGCTCAATTTGCATGATCTCTTCTTCACATCTCACAATATCTGCCGTGCGCTGGTCTTTGTACAAGGGCTGAGGTCCCTGCGCTTGGATCCAGTTGGCACGATTCAGCCCTGCCAATGAGTTTGGCATTGTAATCCTGTGATAGTCAGCCTTGAAACCTGCACTCATGAGTGCTTGGAAGCATTCATTGCGTCCTGTGCGTCTTGAAACATATGCCAAATGTTGCTGCAGACGCTGTGTGGACCAAAAATGCTTCATGCACGCTGGGCAGGTGGCCCCTTCTAAAAGATCATGCTCTACTGAGAAAACTTGATGTGTTTTCCGCTGATGCGTAGCAAGGCCAACGGCAGTGGTGAATGCCCTGCCGCAACTGCATTGGTGATCTGCATGCCCAAACTCAAAATTCAGTTCATGTGGCTTAGGGGTCAGTACCCCTCCCGCTCGTTCAATGGCCTGAAAAATTCTGCGGTGCCATCCGTGAACTTCAATCATCATTGCCTCCTGCATGACATGCCGCTTGCTGAGTCTTTTTAAAAGGGCTTTCCAACCTGGTCCTCCCTGCTGCCAATGGTCAATGAGGGTTGTCAAATCTCTTGTCCATATGTCCGGGACAGCTTTGGCATCAAGCTTGTGAAGCCACTCAAGGTCAGCAAAAACACCATGGAGCCAAGAATTAGGGACATCACTAAATTCTCTATGGAGCATGTGGTGCAAAAAGGCTGGCCCATGTTGAAAAACCTTCTGCGCAAAAAGGAGTCGATCTTGTGCAATGCGTGCTCGTGCATCCAAACATTGTGCAATGGCAAAAACCTGAGCATTGGTCGTATGTGATGAATCCTGGTGGTGAGTCAAGCCCAAAATTTTGCGCAAGCATTTGGTCACAACTGCATTCAATTTCTCAATCTGACGAGGGCTAGGCGTAGGCCAGGCACCGAGGCCAAAGAATAATTTTGTGCCTACCAGTGCATGAAATAAGCGGAAGCGCGTTTTCACTGCAATGTGGCGGTTGCAAAGCACTGTGCGGGATAACTGAGTGAAAGCAGTGTGAGCTTGACCGATACGATGCTTCATTTCAACTTGGAAACTACCATCTGCAGCATAAAATGTGCCTGACCAGTGGCTACCGTCAGCTGGTACTGTCTTCTCATCTCTGGTGCACCTGGTCCTCTGAAAGTCACTACAGCTGTCGTTTTCCCTTTTTGCATGTTCAGTTCGAACCCTCTCCTTTGGAACGTCTTGTGTATTTGTTGGAGGAGACGTTCAATTGCACCAGGCATCTCATCCGCATGGACAGTAAGCCACGGTATGGCAAGGTCGTCGCTCCAGACAATTGCTTCCATTTGGACATCCAGCTTGTGCAGCAGTCCTTGGTATTGCTCTTGTTGACATACCCAATCGTTGAGTTCGATGGTGATATCTAGCATTGCCACATGAAATACTACGTCCGCCAAGGGGCTCCCTGGACGGGTCCCTCTTCGGGTGCGTGTCATCCCGGGATGTGCTGACAGCACATGCCATGTGTGGGCATGCACATCTTTCAACAGATTGACAAGTCTCGCCGGTGCGCCCAAACGTTGGAGCAGGCAAGGAAATTCAAGCCATCTGTTCACCCCTAATGAAGAGCACCCGTTGCTCTCGAGTGAGTGCAGTAGAGCATCAACATCGTCAGTTCTTGCAATACCACAGACCAGTTCACGGATCAATCTATGGAAAGCGTTTGCCAGATCCACAAAGACTACTCCCATGCTGAGGTTGTGTTGCTGTGCGATACGGCTAAAGCATTGCAAACTCATGCGCCCGAATTGGACTTGCTGACCTCCAAATCCCCCAATCTGTCCAGCTGGCTTCAGGGGTGCAATGACTTCAATCACTTTCTCACGCAATAACGCATGCAGTCTTTTGTAGATGGTAGGCAAAAGCATGATGCCCCTGAAATGGGCTGCCCTGGAATGGTCGTTCTTCTTTGGGATCACTGCCAAAATGCCTCCCTTCGCTTGTATGGGTTCTTTCTGCCAAATAAAGATTTTGAGGAAAAGGTCCCAACAGAACATGGCCAATTGTACTGGGAACCTATGCAGAAGGCCCGATGGCAGCGGATCAAGCCCGGTTGCCTTGTGTGGCTGGGTGGCGCGAAATGCATTAATGAGCTGAGCACGAGAAGGCAGAGCATTTAGCTCACACAACGTTGTGTCACATGGCTGCGTGCTTTGGAAGGCGGCACATTCCTGGACCAACTCGTCAGGAGTGATCGAAACTCCAACTTCAAGATCCTGGAAATATGGGTGCCACTGCTCTTCTAAATGCTCAAGCTGCATAGGGGAAATTTGAGTTTTCCGTGCTCTCATTTTAGGCAATGATCTTCGAATGACTGTCCAAAATTCCCGTGCCTGATGTGGGCTCGTGAGCTCACTTGCCTGATGTGCCAACCGGTCAAAGAAAATGGAATCATCTTTGCGGCATGCAGCAACTACCTGTTTACCCAATTGGCGAAACATGGCAAATGCAGTGGCGCATAGGTGGTCCTGCTGCTTCTGAAGAGTGCGAACTTCAGCATCGTTCACTTCGTTATCTGGTCGTGTCCACGCATTGAAACACAGCCTCAACCATGTCAGTTTCTGGACACGCGTGCTCTCCCACATTTGGTTTCTCCAATGTTTTTTCTCTTTGACCAAATTCCACGTGGCAGCTGACATCGTGGTCTTCAACGGTGACCATGTTCGCTTGCGTCCAGGGATTTGCTTGAGAAGCTGTGCCTGGAGCATGTGTGCGTGTGTGTGAACATCAACTTCCCATGAGACCTGCAAGGGCTGAAGGAATTCTAAATGGGATGCTTGGTCAAGATCTCGTTCATTCCTCTTGTTCAGCTTGACACTTCGTGGTTTGGCAAAAGGGATAATGTTCTTGGTCAGGGTGACAACTGCCAGTGCATGATCTTCTTTTACTGTTGACAAGTCGACCTGATCACTGACATATGCCGTCAATGAATGACACTGCCAAGTCATGGGAAGTGCTATAAAATAATTCCGCAGCCATTTGCCTTGGTTGTGTCTCCATGTACCACCTTCTCCCTCTTGGCAATGCTCAAATGTGGCAGGAAGCCACAGCGCATTCTGCTGCAGAAACTGTAGGAAATATTCTGATTTCTCAGTATCAATTTCAGCTTGCCATGGTCCAACATGTGGGGACGGATAAGTGCCTACACGGGCATTGGCATCGGCGAGAAGGATCCTGTCCCATGTGGCGTACTTGCGTGGGATGCTGGCATCCACTTGGAGCCACCAGGCTTCAATCTCTTTTTCTGCTGCTCCCGTGTGAGGTGCGTGGGCCGCAATCACAATACAGCGTAGCACAGGTGTACGCACCCGGACAATAAGGAATCTGGGGTCTCGTGCAATCAGTGAAAAATGGCAGGAATGGAACACTACACCATTGTCATCTTTATTGTCCTCCTTGGTCCATCCGTGTGGGTGCTGTGTATTGAATCCTACAATGATACCGTAATGACCGGCATCCGTGGCGGCACTTCCAAACAAAAAGAAATTTTGGGTCATGAGCAGCATGGATTTTTCGCAAGCGTGTTTCTTGTAAGGCAAAGATATGTACACCTACATCGTGCAGCTGCTGCAAGATCGTTGCTTGTCTGGTTGGTCCAGCAATGGATTCGTTCTTTGACTGATTGGTTCCTTTCAATGTGAGAACATTTCCTGTCGCTAGAACAAGTTGGAGTCTGCCTTCACCTCCGCTGATATCTGCCTCTGGTGGAAGAGCATTCTGCAGAATTGAGGGCGTTGGTTGGGTGCAGGATTTCGTCGGGAGCTGAATACGTGTTTCCAACCATTTGTCTGCATACTCATCGGCAAACAGGAGCCACATCCATTCGCCGGCATCAATGGTAGCCTTGCAGAGGATTTGTTGGAAGAATGGAGCTAAATCGTGGGTAACATGGCCATGTGCCGCAAAATGTGCCAATCCATCAACAAGCTCATTGCCTGGCTCTCCACGATGGCTCCTTACATGCCATCCTTTGCATTTGACATGAAATCTGGTTTCTACAAGCTCCACCAGCGTTCGTGCACTCCGACCTAATAGCGGGTGTTGCATACATTTCCAGTTCCCCAGAAGTTGATTTCCTACTGTTTGGGAATCATAGCAGAACCAAATTTCAGGCATTGCAAAATGGCTGCAAGCAAACAACTTGAGGATATCATGAGCGACCTTGGCAGCACCAATACTCGCATGCAGTTCCGCTGTATATGATCAGTGGGCGGCACTTGAGCGGACAGAATCCCCGCCTGGTACCATCGATGTCCACTTTTAATGAAAACAGCAATTGCAAGGCCTGCGTGATCAACATTGTTCTGAAAGGAGCCATCAAAGTAGATCCACATTTCTTGTCCGCCTTGGTCAATGTCCCAGACGGGCAGCTCCATCCAATGAAGACTCTCATACGGAATAACTACTTCTGCTGGTGGCATGAAAGACATGAGCATGAAATGAGTGTCAATCCATTCAAACGCATCAATGGCTGGCTTCATTTCAATCTGAATCATGTCCGGGTCTGCTGTGTCGTTTTCATCCAATGTTGGATCACTTGGTTTTTGTCGGACAGTCGCACTTCTCTGCAGGAATTGTATGCCTTCCATGCCTGGCCTCACGGGAAGAAACGATGGATTCCAATCCGGTTCAATCCTGTCTCTTTTGATCAGTACCACAATGTGGTCTCCATCGCTGCCAGGCACTCGTGTACCGATAGGGATGGTAAAGGAAGCATGTTGAAACGTACAATGAATGTGTTCGCCAAATCGTCGGATCTCTTCACTGTATCCTACTCTCTCAAGGACTTCCTCCCTGGTGATGTGTTCATGTGTAACAATTGCAGTCCGAAACGGGTGTCCATTGTGTACTGCATCATCAAACATCGTGATCAAGCTAGCGACTTGCGTTTCCGTCGGCTCTTGTACCAGCAAAATGTGCGCAGCGACATCATGTTCCAGTGCAATTGGCGTCGGTTGGACAACAAAGAAGAAAACTGGCTTATTGGGTGCAATAACATCCTGCCATGTTTGAGTCATCAAACGTTCCCATTGCATGAAATCTTCTTGCAAATGAACTTTCCGACAGTATCCGCA